AAGCCATGATTGGCCTGGTGCATGGCTTGGCTGTAAAAATAGTGTCTGCGCTGGGAATCCCAGGAGATTCCAGCAGTGTCAAATACTTCTGCTATTGCTGAGTGAATCGTAGCACGAATGGGGTACCATAGAGGTGTGGTGAATTGTTAAGGTGAGCTGTAGAGAATACAGTGAGAAAAATCATTACAGGTCATGGAGAGAAACACTCCATGAAACTCCCAAAAACCGACACCAAGCAGGTAACTGTTAAAATTCAGCCCATGCTGTTGCGTGGTTGCAGCAAGCCTCATACTCAAGGAAATCTCACTCATTTAATATAAAATTGATATTAATATCATCATACTTTACTCTGCTGTGTCCCCTTAGTTTCTGGACAGCTTTGGCACCAGAGCAACCTCAACAAGATGCAATAAAAACAAGTGAGGTACCAATATTTTGGGTTTTACATTTCAAACTGGCACCTATCTGTACTTGGAGCCTTGGCCAAATTTAAAATTAGTGAAGAGAAATGACAGCAGCATTTTTTCAGTACTTCATAGGATGTGGGCATCACTAGTAAGGCTGGCATTTATTGCCCATTCCTAATTCCCCTGAGAAGGTAGTGGTGAGCTGCCTTCTTGAATCATTGCTGGCTATGTGGTGAAATAGCTCACGCAAGTCCAGGTTGGCTTTTTGTAAAGCAATCTAATTAGTATGAATCACTCGCGATATCCCCACGACCCTATAAGTTTATTTGTCTCAACTGTCTATCCAATTTCTTTTTGAAATAAGTCATCATCCTTACTATAATCATATTTTGTAAACAACCCTTTCCAGGTCTATCCCACTTCCTTATTTTTCCCTTCCAGCTCCTGCTCAAAGTCCCAGTTCTGTGTCCCATTCTCTTTGCGCTAATAACTCATGGAAACAGATTTTCCTTGCCTCTCTTTATCTAAACCGTTCATCATCTTGTACACTTCTATTAAGTCTCACCTCAATCGCCCATGCTCTAAGGAGTACAATTCTAACTTCTCCAATCTAACCTGGTGACTAAAATCCCTCAGCCAATAAGTTGACTTATCCAATTTTATCACTTTGTAGCACTGATTTTGTTTGATGGGAGAGCACTACAATCAACTCCAATATTTTTAGGATGGGATGGGAGACAATTGCCAAGAAAACGTTGTCAGGTTTTCCATCAAATGTCCTGGTTTTATGATAAATATTCTATTCTGTTCGGACATATTGCTACACAAAGTTCTTATATACCTGACTTAAAATCTACAAGCGACAGCACTTTGCTGGATATTAGATTGACTATATCCATTTCAATGGTAAGCAATAAAAGAAACAGTATTCAAGTGATTAATCACTGTAAAATTTCAATACAAAATAAACTTAACTGCTGCTATGAGCAGCACCACTACGATGTTCCATTTTGGTTTAACCGTTAATGGATATACTCAGAGAACTGGCTACATAAAGCTGAAATAGGAGAGATCTTTGGCCGTGCTTCTATCTACACAGGATAGCCTGTGTAGCAAATATTAGAAATTTGCTGGATCAGAAGGGATATCTGGGAAATTACACTTTGATTTTCTTCATGTTTAGATTCCTTGAGGAGATAGAATCTTGGAAGATGTATCCAGTAGATCTCTGATACAATGGTAAAGATGATTACAAACATCAGAAGAGGCATGGGAAACAGTGAAAATTTTACCTAGAGAGCTGGTCTGTAAACATGGAAATGGCAATGGAAATAACAGCATCAACAATACACTCTAAAAGTGTCAGGTAATTGAATCCTGAATCATTGATTGATAATTTCATTCCTACAATAATTTTTGTGCATTAATTAATCACAGAAATTGCCTGTGTAAGATCCCATTAGGGAAATACATTAATAAGTTTGGTAACATAATTACAATTGTGGGCAAGAGTAAACCTTGCGTCCACCAACCTCATGCATCCATAGCATTCACGTGCTGCATTTCTAGTGACGGTGATTAGTTATTGTACATCAGGGATCAAAACAACTTACTTTTTGAGGGGATAGTAGGAACTGCAGATGCTGGAGAATCCGAGACAACAAGGTGCAGGGCTGGATGAACACAGCAGGCCAAGCAGCATCATAGGAGCAGAGAGGCTGACGTTTCGGGCCTAGACCCTTCATCAGAAAAGGGGGAGGGGAAGGGGGTTTTGAAATAAATAGGGAGAGAGTGGGAGGCGGATAGAAGAGGGATAGAGGAGAGGATAGGTGGAGAGGAAACAAACAGGTCGAAGAGGCGGGGATGGAGCCAGGAAAGGTGAGTGTAGGTAGGGAGTTAGGAAGGGGATAGGTCAGTCCAGGGAGGACGGACAGGTCAAGGGGGCGGGATGAGGTTGGTCGGTAGGAGATGGAGGTGCGGCTTGAGGTGGGAGGAGGGGATAGGTGGGAGGAAGAACCGGTTAGGGAGGCAGGGACGAGCTGGACTGGTTTTGGGATGCAGTGGGGGGAGGGGAGATTTTGAAACTTGTGAAATCCACATTGATACCATTGGGCTGCAGGGTTCCCAAGCGGAATATGAGTTGCTGTTCCTGCAACCTTCGGGTGGCATCGTTGTGGCACTGCAGGAGGCCCAGGATGGACATGTCGTCTGAGGAATGGGAGGGGGAGTTGAAATGGTTCGCGACTGGGAGGTGCAGTTGTTTGTTGCGAACCGAGCGTGGGTGTTCTGCAAAGCGGTCCCCGAGTCTCCGCTTTTTGAGGGCACCATTTGAGATTTTTTTGAGGGCTACTTTTTGTTTTTGGAGGCTAAATTTCCATTCTCCAACTCATTTGTTAGGTGTTTTTGTCATGTTGTAATGCATTTTCAGTATTTATAATGGCATATCGGTTATTTGAGCTCACACAGAGAGATTTAGAAGAATGAATCAATAGCTTCAATAATAATCAATTCTCCATTAAACATAATGCCACAACCTACAAGGCAAGTTTAATTTCTACTTACCAAGGTATTTAAATTATTCCAAGTTAACGGGCATAAGTTGACGACAATTTTTTCTATAAATAAATGACATACACTTCTACATACAAAATGTCATCACTCTGGATACAGAGACTCCACAGACTGGAATATGTTAACTAGATGATTCCTACTATTTTACTGCATCTCAGCCCTCAATCTCAGATTTAAATTTAACAATTAACACAGTGTTAATTACAGAGAGATACACGACATTTTTGTTTTGAAATATAAATGCCACTCAACTTATGCAGCCTTAAACTAGAAGCTCCACGTTCATTTACAAGTAATTCCTGACCTCAGTGATTTAAAACTTTCTTGGCTGATACTCCTATGTTGGCAGATTTAGAACTGCTCTCTTGTCTATTTCAGCCTCCATATCCCCCTTACAGCTTCCTTCTCCTCCAATTATCCTCTTGGTGACACTATCTTTCTTCCCACCAAACTTGCAACATTCTTCTCCCCCTACATCCCTCTTACATCCCCCTTCTCCCCACAGCCATCTTGTAGCATCTGTCTCTTTCATATCTGTCAAACCCATTTACCCCAAATACATGTTACAACCTCCTTTTCCCCTCTTGCAGCCCCTTTATTCCACCAACATATCTTAAAGCTTACTTTTTGCCCCGCAATTTTCTTGCTTTCACCCCTCTGCTCTGATCTGCCATCTCAACTACCCAGCAGATAGAACTCCCCATTCTGGTAAAAGGCTCTCAACCAAGGCATTAGCAAAAGGTGGCTTACAATCTCTCTGCTGGTTTTGGTTGTTAGAGGTTAGTCATCTCTGTTCCAGGATGACTCTGCAGCAGTTCCTCAAGATAGTGTCCTAAGCCCAACCATCTTCAGCTGCTTCATCAATCACCTTCCCGCAATCATAAAGTCAGAAGTGAAGATGTTTGCTGATCATTGCACAACATTCAGCAACATTCACAACTCCTTAGATGCTGAAATATTCCACGTTCAAATGCTGTAAGACCTGAACAATATCCAGGTTTGAGCTGAAAAGTGGCAAATAACATTTGCACCATGAAAGTGCCAGACAATGATTAACTCCAATAAGAGAGAATCTAACCATTGCCCTTTGACATTGCCATCACCGAATTTCCCCACTGTCAACATCCTGGATGTTACTACTGATGAGAAACTGAACTGGACTCACTTAAGCACAGTAGCTACTATAAGCGAGTAACTCACCTCCTGACCTACCAAAGCCTGTGCACCATCTACAAGGCACAAGGGAGGAGTGTGATGGAATACTCCAACTTGCCCTGGATGGGTGTAGCTCCTATAACACTCAAAAAGTTTGACAACCTCCAGGACAAAGCAGCCCACTTGATTGGCACCACATCCTCAAACATTTGGTTCCTCCAGTACTAATGCTCATATGCTGCAGTGTGTACCATTTACAAGGCCCCCTCCAGATTTGGAAATATATCACCAGTCCTTCAGTGTTGCTGGGTTAAAAGCCTAGAATATACTACCTGACAGCATTATGGATCTACCTACACCATGGACCGCAGCAGTTCAAGAAAGCTAGCTAACAAGGTGTAGAGCTGGATGAACAAGCAGGCCAAGCAGCATCAGAGGAGCAGGAAAGCTGATGTTTCAGGTCTGGACCCTTCTTCAGAAATGGGTTCAAGAAAATGTTCAAGAAAGCTGCTCTCCACCACCTTCTCAAGGTGAGCAATAAATGTTGCCCAGGTCAGTGATGCTCACATCCTGTGAATTAATAAAAATATTCCTGCCTTGGCTTTATGTAGCCCTGGTGATTCCCACTTATTTCGCCAATCTCAGCATGCTTCTTTCACTTGTTTGTTCCTGATTTATAGCAGGAAGCACAGGAGAGGAGCAGCTCCCCCCATTCTGTTTTTGGAAATAATCATTTATCGCAGGTCGATTTTCCCTGATTTGGGGATTGTTTTGCTGTTCCCTGTATATTTTGAGTGTTGCTGTATTTTATATTATTTTCAAAAATCAGCCAAATTCAGCCCATTGAAAAGAATACTGTAACTTTAATCAAGACAGAGGTTCATTTCAATGAATACACCGAAGTCATTTGTCAAACTTACTCAAGTAAAACCATTACAATTTACAATAAAAATTTGGTTAAAAACACACAAAGAAATTTATCCACATTTACACAGAGCACATACAGTGCAACATTATGATATTTCTCTTTTATATAACCCAGCAAATCAATGTAAAACAAATCCATAGTTTATGTTCTCATAGAAGATGAAAACCATGAAGAAAACCCAAGCTTTCAACAGAAGCTGAAAAGACAACTGACACATACAGTAAAATATTGCCCACAGTTTTAGAAATGACTGTTACTGCTCCAGTTTTCCAAATAAAAGAATATTTACTAACTTTTAAACCTAATGAGCAAGTTACAGCTAATACATTCTGAACAATTGTACATTAAGGATAACCACATTCTATACATTTTAGTTGCAAACTTTCAACTTAAAACAAATGCAATTCAAACTAGAAATATTTAATTATTCCTGAGATTGGAGTCTACAAAGTTGCACGTGCACTGTTCAGACTCAAGACTTTGACCTCTTTCTATTACAGTACATGAGGATAACAATCAGCAATGATCTATAGAAAATAAAGTTTCTATTGGCGTGTAATGACATAATGAATTGTTTATTTTCAGACATCACTATTCAATGGGTATTTCATTTGTACCACATATCCTGTTGAACTTGTCAACACAATTATTATTCCCTTTCAAATAAAAGAAGCAACTGTGGATAATGGAAAACTGAAATAAAAACAGAACATGCTGGAGAAACTCAGCAGGTCTGGCAGCATCTGTGGAGAGAAAAACAGGATAAATATTTCAAGTCCAGTGACTCTTCTTAGGCTTTTCTGCAGCACTGCAATGTGCCTAGGACAGAACATGCGGTCTCCTCTATATTGATGAGATCAAACACAGACTGGGTGACCTTTTTTTGTGGAAGACCTTCATTCTGTCTGTAAGAATGACCCTATTTTCCAGGTGCTTGCCATTTCAATACATCAGCTTGCTATTACGTTAGCATTTCCATCCTAGGCCTGCTGCAGTGGTCCAGCAAAGCCCAATGCAAGCACCTCAATATCTGCTTTGGTACTTTTCAGCATCCAGGACTTATGTTAAGTTCAACAATATCAGCCTGCAAACGTTGTCCTCCATTTTGATTAGACCCTCTTCCCCCACCACCTCTGAGCAGAGCTGTTCTATTGATCTACTATTCATACATATAATTAACACTACTGTGCATCTAGATAACACTTCAACTACTATTATTACTGAATTTATCTTTCACTCTGGATGCCCTCACCTTCTGTTCTACTTGCTCCTCTTCACTATTTGTCAACAGCATAAATACCATCATTTTCAGTCCCCTTCAGTTCCAAAGCATAGACAATATGGGGCTCTGTTTCTGTATCTACAGATGCGCCAGGCCTCTTGATTTTTTTCCAGCAATTCCTGTTTTTATTGTTACTTTGTGGATTTTCATGAAGTTCTACATTCTGCAGAAATGCACGTTTTGCTGTTAATACGAATATGGCATTCCATCTAAAATCAATGGAACATTGTACTCCTTGGGGAATTGTGAAACTGAATGGATCAGGAAGAAAAGAATAAAGACAGAACAAAATAAGCAAAGAACTAGCACTTACCTAGCCCCTTTCACAACTTATCACAAAGCACTTTACAGCTAATGAAATACTTTATAAAAAGTATATTCATTATTGTAATGTAGGCAGATGCAAAAGCTGAGTTGCACACAAAATCCCACAAATGGCAATGAGATAAATGAACAAGTAATATGTTTTATTCATGATGTCAGTTGATTGATAAATAGGCCACTGGTGATGAGAGAAACAGATTGGAAAATAAATACATCAGGCCCTACCCAATAGATATGTAATTGGTGTTAGTTAATACTGGCAATAAACACACTTAAAATGAATTAATTGGCACCAATTGAGATATATACACATGAAAAATGGCCACTTAGTGGCTAGGAGCCATATTTCATAACAGGTCGTCACTAGAGCAGAAAATGAAATTTTGCTTGGAGGGGCAAATAAATAAAAGTGAAATGCAGATGTTGGTCACTGAAAACCAAGCTGTGGAACTATAAGGATAGTAATAGGCAGAAAATCAAACACAGTGGCACGGGAACAGGACACATGTAATGGTATCGGGAGACATTGCTGCAGTAGAAAGTAATAGTTGTACATTGCGTTCCACCCATTCTGATTATGTCACATAGTTTTTGCAGCTTCCGTAAGTCCTTAGTAATTACGCCTGGTAAGTTTATATAAACTAACTAACACTATCATGCAATAAAGTACCATGTAAAGTGCCCTTCTGTTTAGACTCCAGTGATCTGTTATCTGCTACTGATGATTTAAAAGAAAGAAATATTGTTGGTTGGGAATGACTCAAACCAGAACACCACATGCTGGTGGCATAGTAACTGAACATACAATTAGTGCAGTAACAGAACATAATATTCATAGTAGCTCCTCTCTAAACTCTGTGCATTTAACATAAATCCTAGAGATTAAACAAGTTGAATGTATTTAAGGCTTCTACCAAGTGTGTCCTCCTCTTCATTTTCACAAATTTTGTTTCCAGATTTAATTAATAACATTAACATCATAGTGGTTTCAAGCGTATTTCCTCTGACCTGCAATTGTGGTTGCTGGTGACGGAAACATGTTTGGGATAGTACAATCCTTTACAATCCTTCAATTTAAAGAAACAAAACTATCACAGTACAAAACAATGATTCAACTCCATCCAAGCACTACTGTGGTTATCACCTAATTCTAGCCAGACAATTCTGGGAAAACAATCAGAACACAACTCCAATAAATTAAGGAGTCACAAGATACAAAATTAGTTGAGGCCTAGGCCCTAAAATACTTAATTCTATTCTGTCTCCTGCAAGGACAATACCAATTCCTAATGTAATAAATTCAAATGAAAATATACAACCTGAGAGCAGCTAAACCCAAAACTAATTATTGTGACAGAAAAATTAATACATTGAAAATGCCTGTAACTAAACTCTTAAATAGACTGGATTATTTATTGTAAAAGATGATGACACAAGCAATATCAGAATGAACATTTCTTCACAAAGGAATCTGCTTCTGCTAATCTATCAATTTCAATAAAAATTACACATTTCAAAAACTTAATAACAGTAAGAAGTTGCGACAGTTGACAATACATGGAAAGCTATTTGTGGTCAAATCTGTGGACCTGAATGTACTTTAGAACTCCAAGTTGTTAATAATTTCTCTTTAAAATATATTTCCCCACAGAGCTGTTCTTATTTGGAGATCATCAAATTTAGAAAATTAACCAGTTCGATTCCTTGTGATTTCACACAATAAGAGTCCTTTTTGACATGGACCTTGATATTGACATGCAGCAACCAACAAAACTTCAGTCACTAAAGTGCCAAGTTAAATAATAGCTTAGTCTTCTCAGTATGGAGGCTATCCATAACTTTGAATACCAAAGAAAACATTAATTTCCATCACCAACAAAGTTACAAATAACACATGAACAGGTGAAAGGGCAATTTCTCCCTTCTTCGATTCAATCAAAAGATTGTATTATTTTCCTCCATTCTATGAACTTGCGAGGTGGTGCTTTTGATTTAATTGTAAGGTGAGCCAAAATAAAAGTGATTATAGTGTCATCAGCATAAAAATCAGTCTTTTGAATGTGAATATTAAGCCTCTACCTGACTATAATAGATCATATTACATAGGTACAGACCAATCAGTCTGTCAAGAGAGCTCTGCCATTCACTGAGATGATGCCTGGTCTGATAGACCTTAAAATAGTGCAAAATCATGACATTTGACTCCACTTCTCTTGTAATTATCAAATTTCACAAATTTTGAATCTTAATAATTTTTAGTAAGCCATTATAACAGAACACTACATAACATAAACAGAGTTGTAATACAACACCTGAGAGTTCTGTTGGGGGATTCTCTATGCTGAAACCATCAGTAAAGATCTACTACACCCCCCATTCCCACCCCCACAAGTAATTAGTACATTTCATCAATATATTCTTGCTTCCAGCATAACATACATAAGCTGTAATATTCAGCACCCAGCTAGGCTAATTAATAAAAATCATTACTAAAACAAATACATTATTTATATTACCACATTAAATATGTCCTCCAGGTGTAATAAACCTTGAGTTATTAAAGACGTGTGGAAAATTTGCAATATTGACAATGTCATTTTCTTCTATTTCCACAAAATTAGAATATATAAATTTCATGTTAGCAACTCATGAATAAAACAACTTTACGTGTGCATTGGGAGCTGGGGATGTTGCCTGCCAATATGCAATAATAATGGTGATACATCGCAGCTGATAAATAGAAAACTTGTGGAAGGAGTTTTCTTTGTCTATTTCAAGAACATATAAATATCCTATTTAAAAAAATCACTATCACAACCCCTTTCCTTGCTCCTATACCCCACTTTGATGTGAAGGAATTCCACTTGTAACACAACAATTTGTAGCAAAAAGGTTGCAAGTTTTAAAATGATTTTAAAAGTGAATTCAGATTGCTGGAAATTGGAAATAGGAAACGCTGAAAATGCACAACAGCTCAGTCAGGACATATTAATGAGAAAAGAAGGCTAATTCTTTGTGTGTACATATTTGAGGAAGGATTGACTGGTTTTCTTTCCCAAGTTATTTTCCTTCCTATTTCCAGCAATTGTTGTGGATCAATATTACCCGAGACCTTCTGGTACAGCATGTTACCCAGAGTAATTATTTCGTTTTGGGCAGAAATGTTTTGAAATCTCATTGTGAGAATACTATGTGCCACTGAAAAATTTTTCAACTGGATCCACAAGACAAATAAAACAAAATGAGGAAAACATGTCTCCCTGTTATTATGGAGAAACAAAAAAATGTGATAAATTGATCTTTTAAAATATTTTGCACTTAGGAATAATAAAATGTTTTGGTGAAAACACTTATATTTTTCAATAAGTAATCATTAATCTAATCATTTATCCTATTTTACATTTTCAGATATGGGGAAAGGCTAATTTTAATAGAATTCAGTTCACAATTCCAGATGAATAAACATTCATATTACATCCAACAAAGTGATGATATTCATCTTTCATGAGAATTACAGTTTGTACATGTATTCAAGTTAAGGTTAAGAGCTTTACCATTGTTTAAAGATGATTGAGTTTAATTAAAAATTATCAGATTAAACTAAAATTTGCAATTGAATTATGCTATATTTCCTTCATGATTTCCATCTGTACATTCTGTAGAACCCTCAATTATTGACAGATCTGTGGTCAACAAGTTGTGCAGCTGAGAATCTGAATTTATTTCAGAAATCGTTTTTGATGACACGCAATCTATATTACTTTCCAGAGTATCAGATGATTCATTAATTTGAATCCTGTAGTCACTCTCAGAACCAGATTGGTTTTCTGCGTCTGGACTATCCAAAGGGGATTCAAATAATGATGAAACAGCAGCACCATTCTGAGATGTCACTGTACATTGCTCTTTTGAAGCATTTGTTTTGTTACAGCCATCACTTAAATCAGCGGTAACCAGCTTCTCAGTCATTTTTGCAATTTCATTTCCTGCAGTGGATTGGAACATCTGGGAGTCCATTTCCAAAGGTAAAAATACTGGACTTCCACAACTTTCCTTTTGTTCGGTCTGCATTTCTTCAGATTTTCTGTAATTTTTCTCTGTGTCAGGGTATTCTGATGCTGAAGGCTGAGGTTGGGTTGCTTGATCTTCTTTTAATTGATCTATGAATCAAATTTTTAAAAAAATAGTCAGAGTATTACAGGATGGAAAGAGGTTCTTCAGCCCATCCTGGGTCCATGCCAATCATCAAACACCCATCTACTCTCATCCCATTTTCAAGCACTTGGCTCGTAGCCTTGTATGCTACGTCTTTTCAAGTGTTCATCTAAATACATCTCAGATGCATCTAAATACATCTTTCAACCAGTGAATTCCAGATATCCACCATTCTGCGTGTGACAATAAATTTCCTTAAATCTCCTCTAAATCTCTTGTCCTTTCCCTTAAATCTATGTCCTCTGTTAAGTGACCCATCCACATAATTTTGTACACCTCAATCAAGTGGCCCCCACCCCACCATGCACCCCCCCCCAGGCTTCTTTGCTCTAAGGAAAACAAACCCCACCTACCTAGTTTCTCCTCACAACTGAAATGCTCCACTCCAGGTATCATCTGGCGAATCTCCTCAGCACGCTCTCCAGTGCAATCACATCTTTCCTAAAGTGTGGTGACCAGAACTGTACATGGTACTCCAGCTGTGGCCTAACCAACATGTTGTACAGCTCCTTTATAACCTCCCTGTTCTTGTATTCAATGCCTTGACTAATGAAGCCAAGTAACCCACATGCCTCCTTAACCACCTGCGCTATTGCCTTCAAAGTTCAAAGTACAGAGAAGATAGTCACCCCTAAGTCCCTCTGATTCTCAGTACTTGCCATGGTACACATTCAATACGTACTCCCTTGCCTCATTCGTGCTACCATACTGCATCACCTCACACTTTTCAGGATTAAACTCCATATGCCACTATTCTGCCCATCTGACCAGCCCATCTATACATATCGTATATCAGTATAAGTGAGTTTTATGCACACAGGGAGAGAGGAGGATTGGAACAATATTAAGTAACTTTCCTTAATGCTAAAATGCCATTCAATTCGCTTTATAATATATAAAAACTATTCAGAAATAGGATAGTGATCACATACATTGATAGTTATGTTACTGTTCATGGAACTACTATAAAGCATCTACTGCAAGAAATTACTAGAAATATTAGAATGCAGACAGGTCTTCATATTTAGAGTCTAAAAGATATGGGTGCATACAACTGAGCACAATTATATACAGATGGTTTTGTGAAAACAAAATACTGTCGATGTTGAAAATGCAGACAGGATTTTTCAGAAAGCCAGGTTTCCTACTCTGCTAGCTGCAATGGCAATGACCAGCTTCTGAAAATGTTTAGCAAGTCACTCAGGGTAAGCAGGGATGGGCATCAAACATTGGACTGGCCAGCAGTGCCCACATCCCATGAAAGAATTTAAAAATTGACCCCACAACCAACAAGTCATATCAAAGTTCAGTATTCTTGCTACAGTCATGAATGGTGGTGGACAATAACTAATTGGAGGAGAAAGCTGAGGGACCACTGCATCTGTGCAAGAGACAAGACTGAAACATTAGTGCTTCTGGCTGAAGGTGATTGCAAAGTGAATTGTCCTTTTTAAGCACCCCCCAACACCCTTATCTCTCCAGCATCACATGTGATTCAATCAGGTAGGGATCAAAAATATGATTGTACGCACTGAATTGAGCGAACATCCCAACTATAGCATTGCTGTCTTTGTATTGTTACAACAATAGCATCTACTCAACACTTTACAAACTTGGTCAAGTCTGTTCTGTTTGTGAGAAGCAAAACAAATGCAATCCAGCTAATTACTCAGTCTACTCCCCTTCATCAGCAAAGTGGTTAATGGACACTCGTTTGGTTATACACTGTTCGCCAGTGCTCAGTTTGGGTTCTTTTATGGCCACTCAGTACCTGGCCTCATTACAGCCTTCATTCAAGCAAAAACAAGAGCTAAATTCAATGAAGTTAAAGTGGCTGTACTTGACATCAGTGGCAACGTTTAATTGGGTCTGTCAATAAGAAGCCTAAGCAAAACTGAAGTCAATGGGAATCAAAAGGAAACCTCTCCAATGACTGGATTCATACAGTAATAAGAAAGATGGTCTTGGTTGTGAGACCAATCATTACAATCTCTGGATATTGTTTCTGGAGTTCATCAGTGGATATATATTCTAATAAGTCTGTTCAGAGGTGCTATTACATACATCTGGAGCAGGTGGTACTTGAACCCAGGTCTCCTGGCTCAGAGGTAGGGACACTAACATTGTGCCACTGTTTCATCAATGATTTACCGTCCAACTTAAAGTCAGCAAAGGGAATGTTTGATAATGATTTCACGGTATTCGGCACCATTCAAAACTCCTCACATACTGAAGCTGTCTCTGCCCATATACAGCAAGACTTGTGCAACATTCAAGCTGGGATGATAAGTGGCAAAGTAATTTCCATGCCACATAAGTGAAAGACAATGAACATCTCCAACAGGAGAGAATCCAACTATTTCCTGTTGACATTCAATGGCTAAATCCCCCTCACTATCAACAAACTGGCAGTTACTATTGTTAAGAAACTGAACTAGACCTGCCACATAAATGCTATGGCTACAAAAGCAAGTCAGAGGCTGGGAATTTCATGGCTGATAACTCACTCTTGATTTCACAGATTCTATCTGCCATCTGCTAAGATTGTGAAATGCTTGCCTAGATGAATGCGGTTCCAACAATACCTACGAAGCTCAACACCATCCAGAGCAAAGAAAATCACTCAATTACCAACTTAAACATTTAGTCCAGCATCCATGCACAGTGCCAGCAGTGCACATCACTTACAAGACATCACTCAACAAGGGTGCATTAACAGCATCTTCCAAACCCTCAGTCCTTACCACCTAGACGCTCAAGGGGAGCAGACACATGACAATGTTGCCACCTGCAAGTTCCTCTGAAAACTGCACACCATCCTGGCTTCGAACTATATGCTATTCCTTCACTGTTACGGGGTTAAAAACCATGGATCTCTAACTGAACAGCTCTGCATCTGCACCACATGGAATTCTGTGGATCAAGATGGCTTTCACAAAGGTAATTAGAGATGGTCAATGATTATTACCATGATAGCAAGATCCACATCCTACAAGTTAACAAAAAAATCTTTTTCCTCTCAACTTTTCTCTGCTCCCATCCCCATCCCTTTTCCGTATCCCTGCTATCAATCCTCCTCTCTATCAATGTCCTACTTCCCACTTCTAATGTAATAGTCTCTTCCTGACACTAGTCATGTAGCTACTCCTCCATGCCTATTTATATTTTCCAAAGTCTGAACTTCAACTTGATTACTCATATGCAAAACCACAGGAGATTGAGTAATAAATAATTAAAAATTACTTGCCGCATGATTAAACTCTGCTGCAGCTTAGTTATCCTTGCTGGCCTTCAGACGTCAGGGAGAAATTTTCTAAAGTTTTGAATTTGAGATTTACCTAAACATGTGAATTGCTCTCACGTGATTTAAAACCTATAGGAGTGTTGGAAGGGAGAGAGCGTAATCTTTAAATTGGCCATGTTTCATTACCAGACATGGGTATGTTAGTCTGTTTTGTATTCGTAACAAACAGAGTTAAATTGTGTTTTCTTTTTTGGCAAGAGATATGACAGATTTAGAATAAGAAATCCTTGGGCTGTTTTATTATTCTGAAAGTCCTAGATAAATATAAAATACTGTGGATGCTAGAAATCTGAAATAAATCCAGAAATTGCTGGAGAAACTCAATGGGTCTGGCAACATGTGTGAAGACAGAAACAGCTGTTTCAGCTGCAGGGTTCAAAGAAATGTCATACTTGACTCAAAATCATAGAATCATGGAATCCCTACAGTCTGGAAGCAGGCCATTTGTCCCATCGAGTCCACATCGACCCTATGTAGAGCATCCCATCCAGACCCGTCCCCTGCCTTGTATCCCTGCATTTCTCATGGCTAATCCACCTAGCCTGCACATCCCTAGACACTATGGACAATTTAGCATGGCCATCCACCTAACCTGCACTTTACTGGACTGTGGGAGGAAACCCACACAGACACAGGGAGAATGTGCAAACTCCACACAGACAGTTGCCCGAGGGTGGATTTGAACCTGGATCCATAGTGCTGTGAGGCAGCAGTGCCAACCACTGAGCCACTGTGCCAACCGAAATGTTAACTCTGTTTCTCTCTCCACAGATGCTGCCAGACCTGCTGAGCTTCTCCAGCAATTTCTGCTTTTATTATCCTAAATAATTTTACTTGTTTGTCCTGATGTCTGTAACTGGTTTAATCAATGCTCTAATCAACTTCTTACTCTGTTGTGCAAACAATTTTCAAATTTCAAAAAGGAGTCACAATGGGAAAAGTCTGGAAAACATTGATGCAATGTGTTGTTGGAGTAGTGGTTGCCAGCAGCGGATTTACTGCCGCATCTAACCTCCCCACAGGATCCCGTAGCACTGAAACCAGCAGCACTATGGAGAACAATTGTGTAGTCTAGATTCTTAAACTGAGGGTATTTCAGGGACACTTCCAATTCCATCAACTGGACAAGTTTAGAAAATCAGATTAGATATGTCAATGCTTGGCAGGTTTCAGATGTTTCAGATTTCAAGGACATTGGAGTTATTAGGCCACCACTGGAATATAGATCCAAACACTATGGGTTACCCATCATACAGTCCTGATTTCTTTAATAGATAAATTGACCATATAATCCTTCCTATATTTAAGAACTCATGTTATTGTGAGATAGAAGTATACAAAAAAGCAAATTGAGTACCTGATAAAGTAACAGTGCAGTATTTCATTTTTGAAACAATTCAATTCATTTTCTGAATCAAAATAATGAAACATTTCTAAATCCTTGTCTTCTCTTAGAACCCTTAAAATGGAGATGTTTCTCTTGTAATCATTTGACACAAAGAAATAGTAAGATCATTGGCTTTAATAATGGCTCGAGGTTCTGTGTACAAAGAAGAATCTGATTTTCATGGGTAGCTGGAGGACATTTGCCAAAGAATTATGTTCTTCCAGGGCAGAAGTGTTCCTCTGGATCAGTTAGGG